GTCAAACTAAACTTTAATGAAAAAGGAGCAGATAACCAACAAAGCTATATGTATATGCATATATAGTTTTAAACAGTTTTTAGTTAAATTAAATTGTTCTATAATAATTGCTTTAAAACAATCAATAATTTCTAAAATAGTTTGTCGCAGTCATTTGTCTCTACATAAAAGCTGAATAATATTGTTGAAAAGTTACATAGAAAATGAACTAAATTATGTAATTTGATGCCCTATTTAATAAAAATTATTTTTAAATTATTAATGAAATATTCGTTATACTTGTTATACTTAATATACTTGGTATATTCGTATTTTAATCGATGATTTGATAATTAATTTATTATTCAATGCTATAAGCGACCGCACAATTTTGACTGGACAGAAACCAGAAACTTTGAAGAGTTGGCTTAATGCCAAATATATTAGCTTATTAATTATATATCCCAGACATGGCAGAACAGACTAAAAATTAGACTAATGTTTTAATCATAAGACAATGTTATTAGAAGAAAATTATGTTATAAGAATGTTAATATTTCAAAAATTAATTTATAAGCAAATGTAAAGAGAATATACATATCTTTATTTAATATACACATAGAATTCTAAATTAAATTATGCAATTATATATATATATATATATATATATATTAAATAAAGCTAAAGCTAATCTTTTTGCATTCTTCAAAATTAAAAAAATTATTAAAAATTATTTTTCAGAAATAATTAAAAATTTCAAATTTAATTCAAATGTGTTCCAACTGTAATGATATTAAAGAGATAATAACAATGTTGCAATAAAAATCAGAAATGCCGAAAAGTCGTCGAAAAAAAATATAGCGTCGATTATACGAATATATTCCATGCATCAACGTTATCCAAATTCAGTTTCATCAATTTATGGCAAACACAGTTGTTACATAGGTCTCATTATTACAACTAAATTCTATCGGTTCGCGTGTTTTATTACGAACCGTTAACAAACAGTGACATACTAACGGACGAAAACGCGAAGCGAACTCGGTGGTCTACTATGTCAGATAGATTTTCGATTTCCGTGCGATTGCTCAACGTAACCGTGTGACTCGATCGTGTGACTGCGTTCGCCAATACTTCGATAGAAAAATCCCCGAATAAAAGTCGTAGATTTGGTTCGATTCGATAAATATACTGTATCGTGAATCTACCTCAGTGTCAGTCGACCGGTTAACGCGAAACACGCAACGCGCAACCGCGTGTGAATTCGTCGGTGTGTATCGTAGAGAGGTAGGAAAACCCGACGAGAGACTAAACTTCACATTGCGAGAGGAACATAACGGGAAATGAGAGAAGGAATACCACGAGAATAAACGGAACCGCGTACAAACGCGCCGAGGAATGTGAATGAGATAGCATTAGGAAGCAAAGGGTCCCTCTGTTTACGCGAAAGTTAATCCTAAACGAAGAGTGCGTAATTATAATCCTCCTACTCTAATACAACTTTAAGTAAATCGAAATTTTTAATTAGATTGCTTTAAATACCTTTTAAAACTGTGCATGTATTAATGCATATTCTAAGCTTTTGTGTATAAAATATACAATGAAAAAATAGAAGATCAACATTTGTTGTAATATTCTCATTATCATAATTAAATATCTTGACAACTGAGTCTCGAATTTCGAGCGAGATAAACATCTAATATGTCCGAATAAAAAAATCATCTTAATCTGCTGAAAAAAAAAATAACTGTAAGAAAGCTCTTTACGAGAGCTTGCAACAATAATCCATATCTCATTGGACAATCTCCATTTGTGCACTTTCTTACCACAAGAAGGAAATGTTTGATGCAAAGTAATATATGCACAGACTGCTCATGCCCGACAGACGTTGAGTACTTTGCAGCTTGTGGCCCGACTATAACCGCATAATGCGTTAAGTGGAAGTAGTGTAACTTTCCACTTCCTCGACAGCTTGAATACCATCAAAGTTACATGGTGAGTCGCGCGCGTGCTAATCGAATACAACAAGTTCGTCAAATTCATTGCACCGAGTAGTTATCGTAAAATGGTTAGAGATAGAGATTCGTTTATCTCACTTCCAAACAAGATATTCAGAAAATTCTAACACGATCGGTTATCTTGAGGTTTTTCGCCAACGTTGATTTCAATTTTTTACTTGCATCTTCATGAATTCATTGATGCTTTTGATTGATAAAACATAATTTATATTTATAATTGAGTAACTTTGAAATAATGCATATAAAAAATTGTCATATATACATATGACAATTTAATTATATAAAAGATAAAAAAATAATTTAACAACTCACCAGTACGATGCGAAGCAGCGAAGTTGTACACGTTGACCTGTAAAATACAAAATATATCCAAATTATATAAGCAGTGTCCAAAATAATTCGCAAAATTACTATTGAATTACTTTTGGTCTTCTTTAAACATTTATTAAAAGAATTATATAAATTTTGAATGAAATGGTTTAAATTTTATATATTTTACTAAAAATAATATAAAAGACAAAAATATCAAACAATATAAAAATGTTTTGCAAATGTAAATATATGTTTATAAAAATTATTCTAAAAATTTTATAAAAATAATATATTAAATGTTTGAAAAGAAAATTTAGAATGTTTTTCATATATTATATTACACAATGTAAACTGGACTACTGCGAAGATAAACAGGTAATTAATTTTAAAAAAAATCATTAAGTGTGTACCTCACAGTTACTTCGCTATTACCCGATGCCTCCCTGGATCTCTTTTTTCTTTTGCTCATTCTTTACAGCTTTTTCACAGCACTCACATGGCACTTGTGAATTATAATCGCGCATTAATTGTCAGAATCACTAATCGCGCGGTACTTAGCAAAGCACTTTCGACGTTCTTCGCAAACGTTTATGCGCGCTTTATATATGTTATAATGAGAGAACAGCGCGAAAACTATGATCGCGTAAAATTATAACTCACGCCTAGAAATCACACAATGAAATTCACGCGTCACTCGTCTTGGCGATGCTATATCTATTGCTAATCGATGCTCTCGTTTCTTAAATAATTATCATTTTATATATTCATAACATAAGTGTATAGATATACAAATTAAAAGAAAGTTCTTCGAAATATAATATCCGAAAATATATTGTCGCTTCGCTGATTACTTTCGTAATAAATTTCGTTCGAATAAATCACATCTATTTAAAAAAAATCCTCGATGTATAGACAATCCAATTTTTATTACTCGGTTAATATCATTATAATCAAATGTATTATAATTTTATTCTCGTTTCAACATCGATATTCTATATTTGTTTTATGCGATATTTTATTAATGATTAAAAATGACATTAGTATTTTATATATTTCGATATCGCGTAATATTACAATCTTTGTTAATATAGTTAATATTATTTAAAACACGACGTATCTCTTCCGACAATACAATCAAGAATCGGTACAAGTCGCGAAATTCATGTCATATTTTGATGAAAAATCTCGATACGCTTATAAGTTGTTAATTACGATAATCAATTAAATTGACAATCTCTATTTGTAAAAGATTTGATGTCTCCTAGTGCTTGACATAATCGTAGTTATAGTTTGAGAGATAATATGACGACATACAGAGTGTCACGCGCCACACTACCGTCCTGTTTGAGTGTCGCGACGTGAATAACAAGGTCGGAGGTCACAGCACGAGCTACGTATACATTGTTAAAGCCGAATACCAGTGTGTCAGTCATTGCCCCACCACTCTCCACCACATTCCCCACTCTGCTACGGAATATTTAATGTATTATAAAATATTTTGTTCCTTCACGCGATGTTTTAATTGAAAATTCAAGTAACAGGAAATAGAAATTATAAACTTTCGTTAACATTTTTATTGCGATTTTTACAAACGATAATTGTTTCTGTAATAATACTCGAATTCCAATATACGTATATATATATTTGCATTGCATTCTAAATTTTTCGCCGATACAAGTACTTAATTTTTCCCATATTTCAAGTTGAGAAAGCGTAATAACACGAATTTTCGAATCGATACTAATGAGATTATACATTAAAATTTATTAAGAGTTGGTTTGAAATTGAAGGAACAAAGTATTCTATTGCATTTATTTCGTAATATATTAAATATTTCGCAGCAAAGAGAGGGAGAAACATGAATGAGAGCTGGCACTGGTATGCGGGTTTGACAATGTTGTGTACATACTATATGCCACGTGTACTGCTATGGCCTTGTCATTTGCGTCACGAGACTCGAAGGAAATAATGCGAGACTTCGTATATAGTATTATCTCTCAAATATGATAATGACTAGGAAATATCAAACGCGATTTTTCTTTACAAGTAGAATTTAGAAATCATCAATGACTCGTTAAACGTAATGTATTTTCGAATTCTATACTTTATATATTATTTTAAATAACCTTTAACTCGATTTGCACATAATCAGAATAAAGTTGCCAATATTATTTTCAATCATTAACAAAGCATCGTGACTATAAAATAAATCAATTCTAAATTGTGACAACGCGTTTAATTACAATCGTGTTTAATCACGTATATTCATATTTATTAATCACATAATAAAAATTCGATGTTTATACATCGTTGATTTGTTTAAAATGCGTGTTTCACATATATTTGATCGAAATCTATCGTGCGAGAGAGCAATCAGCAAAGCGACGATATTTTCGGATGCTGTATTATTTGCCGATATTTATCCTAAATTCGTATATATTTATGTATTTATAATCACACTTATAATACAAGCTAATAATAATAATCTTAAAACAAGAGCATGTATTTGTTAACAGATGTAGCTGTGACGACTTGCTCATAAATTTAGTCTCGAAATTTTCAAGTAAATAGTCGTTTAATGCAATCATTATTTAAGCGTTCTCTCACTGCATCATAATAAAGTGCGCGTCGCATGCGATTAACATCGAAAATGCCGTACAAAGTGCTGCGCGATCGTTATATTATATTGATTAGTGCGCGATCATAATCAACCATGACTCCGCAAATGAGTGCCGTGTGAGTACCATCCAAAGGAACAGCAAAAAGATGAACAAGAGAGAAGAGACTCGCCCGAGGAGGCATCAGGCGATGGCGGAATAACATGAGGTAAGCACTTGATCATTTTTTTCTTTTTACTAAATTAATTACCCATTTATCATCTTAGCAGTATTCAGTCATTTTACATTGTATAATGTAATACATATAAAATATTCTAGATTAAATTTTGAAATATTTAAATTTAAAAAAATATTTACAATAATTTATATATAAAAAATATTTCGAAATAAAGTCTAGGATTTATAATTATTTAGGTTATTTAAATAAAAGTTAAAAATTTAAAAATATTTTTAAAAATCTAAAAAAATATTCGAAAAATATGTAATTTTATATTATTAAATATGAATTTAAAGAAAAAATTTTTTAAATTGATAATTATTTTTAAAATATTAATTATCTTGGACACCACTTTATACAACTTATACATATATTTGTATTTTACGGAGATCAGCTCCGCAGTTGCGCATCGTACTGATGAATGTGTTGCATTACCTTTAATCTTGAGATAATAGATTTATATCTATATTCGTATGTGTAAATATTTACACACACGCGTATACATGCACACCTTAAATTATAATAAATTAGTTACAACAAAATTTAGAGAATAACCTTTAAAAAACGGCTAACATGTTAACATTTTTATTGAAAAACTAAATTAGTTTTCTAAAAAAGATAAAAAATATACAACTTAAATAAAAATTGACCGTGTCTATGTCTCTTCCGTATTTAAAAAATGCGTATACTATAAAAAACACTTGCTAAGAGATCTTTCATAATATAAAAAATAATATATCAACAATCAGAATCAGAAGTGTCAAAATTGTTCGCACATGCATATACACGATTAAAAATTTCTGGCAATGTCCCTGCATTTTATATTAAAGAATGCAAATAACTTTTTAAATACTCCACGATAGAGAAACGTGCCAAGAGTCAGGGCTGAAAAAAGCTTCGTTTAAGTTCGAAATATTCGCACGAGCTTAAATATATTCTTAAAAATTCATAACTATCTTTTTATGTTTTCATGTCTTGCATTTTCATGCAAAAAATTTATTAAAGAATTTTATTTTGCATTTTTATCAAAAAAGGAAATCTCCTTAATACGACTTTCAAATTTGTACTCCAAGAACAAACTTTAATAGAGATATATGCCAAACCGATAATATAGTTAAGTTGGAAAGTGATCGTAAAAACATTGAGCTTAATGCAAATACATTTAGCTCCCTTAAGACTATTTCAATCTCTTTCCTCCAACTTTTCTTTTAACATTTATCGCGTTAAAGAATCAATTGTAAAAATGTAAAACAACACGTTACTTTGAAGAAAAAATGAGACATAAAAACAAAATCGATATTACATAGAAACGGAAATGCATACATTAGTATTCAACGGCAACAAACAAGTTCAGCATTTCAATGTGAACAAAAGAAAACTTAGTGAACGATGAAGAGAACTGAGATGTTTTCAAAGGAGGTATCGATATCTTTACGAAACACAGATCGATGCTAGTATATACATATATATATACACTTTTCCGTTGGTGTGTTCTCTTCGAGAGAGAGAGAGAGAGAGAGAGAGAGAGAGAAATCTAAAAATACTCTCATTACGAGTTACTTTCTACGGCAACGAAGATTCCTGGCTCTTTAATTCGTTTACCGACCATTACAAGTAAGACGAGGCGCAGTGTGAAACTTTTCCATTTCATTACTTCGTTTTTCTTTTTCTTCGCCATTCGCCATCCCCTTTCCTTTTTCTCCATCGCTACTATCAACTTTATTACTTTGTCCTCTTTTGGCGGTATACCCATAGCGAAGTGTCTACCTTTCCAGTCCGTGTTCTGAAGTACTTTTTAACTTTGGGGTTAAATCTTTTTCTTATCAGATCGACGTCGCCTAGATATAGGCAAGATCTTTATTTCCTTATTATATAGCATTTCCGCGAATTGTATTTATTATTCTCATTGCAAATCAAAGTTGCAATATAGTGTTTTTAAACCTCGAGCGAGCATTAGATTTTGTATGAAGGGGTTGGAAAATATAAATTTTAAACTTCATTGTATATTATCACTCGTAAAAATATATAATTAATTTATAAAATTCTAATAAGTAAATATATAAACTTCTTCCATAATAAATAAAAAATAATATGTAAAATTATAAAGATAATTTTTCGTATTATTATGGTAAAGCTATGAGCCAAGAAAGAGAACTGTATTTATATACATATAATTAGAAATATAATACTGCAATGTCTAGCAATTCTATAATTTTATATGCAATATTAACTACGGGATAAAGTTAGAGAATAAATCAAGAGAATAATCCCATACAACCGAGCGTACAAGATACAGTACGTACACATTCTGGAGAAAAGCTGTTAACAACGAACATATCTCTAAGCGGTAATCTAAGCCAGTTTCTCCTATATGAAGCCAAAATGAAGGATTAACGCTTATATGCTCGTTGTTACATAGGTAGACGTCAGTCTGTGCACGCACTCGCACCTTGCTTTGTCGGTATATGTGAATGACGTTCCCCATAAAATATTCAAAGCGCAGCGCGATAATGGCGGTGCGTCCAAGCATATTAAACATTCAGTCACGTAGCTGGCCGGCGTGGTGTCGGCCGTATACAGGTGGTGAAACAACACTCGGCGGCAAAGTTTCACAACTGTACTGATATATATCGCGGTGTGAACTTTACAAAATTATACACAAATCTAATTTCTCCATATATGTAATCTGAGATTCATCGCTTGGTCGATAGCAAAAGCAATATGCGCTGTGCGCTTGGAATCATAGACTTTACACAATATCTTTGTATGTTAAAAATACGGTTATTTCTTTACAATAAAACAATTTATTTTCTCTATAATTAGACTCTAAAATAAAGAATATAAATACTAATGATCTAATAATCTAATTTATTTAAAATTAAAAGCACACATTTTCTTATAATATTATAAATTTTTTGCTAAATTTAAATTCAATCTTTTATTCAAAGCAATTTTTTAGCGATTTTTTAAAATAATATTTGACATTAGCGCTATATTTAACGAATAGCGCTTGAAAGTTAAAATTGCGATTTAAAAAAATAATTGAAAACGAAGTGAGAAATAACTTGTATTTAATTATAAAATAAAATTTTAGAAAATTTAACAAAATATTTATTATTACTACTTATTCGCTATTTTGTCTCATAGATTTTCAAATAATTATAATCGAAAGAATAATTTTATATATGCATTAACCGAGAAAAGTTGCGGCCAAAATTTGAATAATAAAGAAGTTAGATATTCGTTCGAGTAGCGAGCACGGCCCGGTAATGAAACTCCTGTAACAAAATTTCATACACGCGATGCTCGGTTAGACCGGGCAATCGCTTGTAAAATTACCGACGCTTGTTAGCCGGGCAACAATCTTGTTAAACAAAGGGTAAATTTTTCAACGGATCCAATTAACCGCGAATGTATTATGCAAATAATTCTCTACGCGTCAACAAGAAAAAAAATTTGCTCCCCCCCCTTTTGAATTTAAATAATTTAGTCAAAAAGAGATTAAATATTCCATTACGTTGTTACGTCTCCTCCATCGTTACGGCGTAGTCTCCGCCGTGGAGCAAGTTCACGCGATAATTCAACTCTCGCAACAAAGTTTCATCGTGCACGCTATTTCGCGCACGGCACAGGCTCTCCAAAATTGCGCTCTATTTGACTGCACTGTTACTCGCTTAAAATTTAAATACTAGACATGGATCTCGAAATAAAAAAAAAACAGAAGACAAAACAAAAACAAAACGAGATAGCAACCGGATAGAAGTATCGTGTAAGTAGTAGTATTCTTAACGAGCCAGATATACCGTAGTAATTAGACACGGACTCTATATTCTTTTTCTTTCTCTCTCTTTCTCTGAGTATGTTTTTCACCAAGGGTAATAACCATGAGCATAACCATTAGAATCTGTTACGTTCAACTTGGAGACTATTAGGCCAGAATTGAACGGAGATCTGCCTCGGGAAGAATTATAATTTTGTACACACATTAAAGATAATAAAAGTTTAAACTGGAGGAACGAATCGCATTCGTTTATTATTTGTGATATTAAATCGGCAGCAACGATATTGAAGTATCAAAATCTAGCTGTATCGAGGTGTAATAATAAATTTATTTTGAAAATGTAGCGCTGTTTAATAAGTATATTTTTAATTTTTATTTTGTGTTTGGAAACATGTAGCCTAAATACTCGGCTGTTCGTGGCACAATTCGATCTTGAAATGGCAATTTTCTGAAGAAATGTGCAGTTTTCAGGATAACGTACCGGAGCGCGTGTTATAACGACTGAAAAAGTAACCATATTCCGCAACCGATCTATAAATAGCGGGGTCAAATCGTTATCGTTACATTGTGTAACAGCGCGCGTTTCGCTCAGTTCGTGATCGCGAGTTACGCGGATGAGCTTTTTAACGCCTTCTCGATACGGCGGATCGTTAATCCATCGCGTAAGCGAAACGAATGTCCGACAGAGGAACGGATTTATGGACCGATTAATTCTCTTTCTCTCCCGTCCGGTTTCTAATTCAGGACTCGTGGATGACGCATAACCGATATACACCTTGGTGTCTCAATATACGAGACAGAAGACCGGTTATAAAGATACTAGCGTGGATTAACTAACGGAAGACAAATTGCACATAGGTTGTATAAAATCAAATCAATATCTTTTATCGGAGATCATTTATGATCAATGAAGATTAATATTAAAAATAAAAAGCTAATAAAAATATAAGACTGCGAAATTACAAATTCGTTTGTGAATCACATGTAACAAATATATCACATGTGTGTAATAATTATCTCTTAGCTAAACATACATTAATTGTTTAATATATACATTTTATAATCGCAATTTGTATATTGAAATTCAATAAGAACATGTATTTTTCTTAATATCTATAGACATTCTACTATTGATACTACCAAATTATATTAATGCCAAAAAAGCTTTTCATTATAAAAGGAAAAATGATTAATAAAATATAATTTTGAA